CCGCGTCGGCCGGCACTTCGTCGTCGGCCGGCTCCGGCGGCGGCGGAGGCTCGGGGCGCAGCGGCGCCAACTGCCCGCCGTCGATGTTCTCCGACCTGCTGCTGTTCGGCCTGCCGACGGTGATGGCCTACACGGGCTGGGGCAGCGTCAAGTTCGACTACTCGACCCTCAGCTGCTCGTTCGCTCCGTTACCGAGCCTCTACTGTCTCTTCACCATGGAGAACTCGATGGAAGCTTCAGGTATGTGTAGATCGTGCCGAGCTGCTCGTCGCGTCCCTTCCGAAACTAACGCCCTGTGATGGTGTGTGTGTTGTTGTTGTGTGTGTCGTGTGTGTGTGCAGTTTACCTGAAAGCAGCGGAGGATGAGGACGCCATGAAGGCCAAGGGCGGTCGGGACAACCACAACAACAGGAAGGAGAGAAGGGAGCTGCTCACGCCTGCGTGCGTGATGGCTGCCGGCTACGTCAACGGATTCCTCAACGAGTGCTGGCAGAAGTACTCGCACACAGCGCCGGTCTTCTCCTTTCTAAAGGGACGCGGCAGCGGCGCATACAACAACGCTGCCGAGACGTGGGCCAGCGGCGGCGACGGCGATGCCGGCGACAGCTACAGTCGAAGCGGCAAGGGATCGACCATCGGCCACTCGCGTGGCCGCGCAACACGGGAGCGTAGCGGCAGCACCGCCAGCGCCCTCAGCGCCCCCATCATCCCCGTCATCAGTGCCACTACTCTTCCTGACGTACGCCTCCTTTTTCCGTGTGTTGGCGAGCAGTGTGCTAACAACGACAACTACGACGTGTGCAGTTGGCGGTGGTGGAGCTCTCGTGCCGAGCGTTGGGGCACGACTGCTGCGAGTTCATGGTGTGCGTGCGGAGTCAGGTGGAGCGGTGCGCCAGGACCTACCTGGAGAGCCGAGGCCGCGGCGGGTCCGCGGCGCTCGCCGGCGTGCCGCTGGTGGACATCCTCGCGGCCAAGGACAAAGCCGACGCCGACGCCAGCGCCAAGAGGAAATCAGACAAGACGCGCAAGTAGCGAGCTGTGTGTACATGTATATCGAATCTCTCATCTTACCACCCACACCAACGATCGGTCGCGCTACTGGCCTGGCTCGTTGTGTGGTGGCCGCGTCGAACCGGAAGAGAACATGCAGCCGGCGTGCTGGATGACCTCAGACGACGCAAAGTGTCCGCTTGCCACGCACTGCGCCAGGTGGTGGTGGTGGGCGAACACTTCTTTGGTCTTGGGGTGGTGTCTGTGGACGAACGCGGCGAGGAAGCCGCCCACGAACGCATCACCGCTGCCGATGAGGTCCACGATCTTCTCCTTCGGCACCACCGGCACTGCGAACACCGAGGCCTGACGCCGGCGTAGAGCAGGGTCAGCCCCGCCTGGGCCTCGGCAAGGGGGAATGAATATTGGGTGATTGGAGGGAGGGGGGGGGGCAAGTGGGTACCTGGCCCTCGCAGGCAACGACGGTGGGTTGAGTGCCTCGGGTGACGACCACGATCGACGTGTCGGAGCCGCGGCGGCGAGACAGGATGAGGGCGGCCTCCTCGGGCGTCTGGGCCGGCGCGAGTGCGAGCGCCTCCTTCTCCTTGGCGAAGACGACGTCGGCCAGGGGAAGCAGTCGGAGAATGGCGTCGCGGTGCTTGTTGACCACCGAGATGTTGGAGAGGTTCACCACGACGCACTGTGTGCACGGCCACCCAGCCAGGCACGTGCGGGTGAGCCTCCAACACAATTCCGATGCGATGCGAGTAGTGGGCGGTGAGAGTGGTACCTTGCTCTGGTCTTTGCTTCGCTGAGCCAGCGCCAGGAGGTGGTCCGCCGCGAAGGCCAGGAACGCGCATTCCAGATAGACATACGACGCGCCATCAATGACCTACACACACTTCGTGAGCCTACAAATGAAAGGCGGCCGACCGACTCATCACGCACCTGCTTTGTGTCTTCGGCCAACGAGGCAAAGTCGAACGTCTCGGAGGCGCCAGCGGTGAATAATTGATGTCTGTTCGGGACGGGCGGAGAGTGGGTCAGTGTGTGTACGAGTACGCGCGCGCGGGTGGCGGGCGTTGGGGTGTGCGTGAACCGTCGGTCTTCTTTGTCCCCCGCGAGGGTCAACGCCAAGCAGTTGCCCGTTGCGTGGCCGGGCGTGCCAACGTAGCAAAACGCGGCCGCGCTGCCCTCGGCCTCGACCTCTCTCCTACAAAACACGCCGAGAGGGAGTGGTGTAAGTGGGAAGAAGTGTAAGTGGGCCTCGTCATCACGATCGGGGAGCGAACCGAAGCAGTCGGGCAAAGTCATCGTCGCCGACGCTGCCCACAAAGGCGCACCTGTGCCCTGCGCCCAGCAGCCACTGGGCATGCGTGCGGTGAATGGCCATTTCAGGTCAGCCACGACAAAAGAGGGGAGAAACGCTGCAGCGACTGGCACCGCACCTGAGCGACCCGGATGACGTTCTGGGTGGACCCACCGGCCGAGTACTGGATGCGTGCCCCGCTGTCCACGGCCTCGCGATACCTGGCGTGCAGTGCCCGGCGAATGCGCGTGTAAATGAAAGATGCAACGCAGCGATGCGGTTGGGTTTGGTGTGCGTACAGTGCGTGGGCGCGATGGCAGTCGGTGGTGACGCTGAACTGCCTCAGTGCCAAGCCCCGCCTGCAGCAGCCGATTAGATGCGAGTGCAAAGAAAGAAATGAATTGGCGAAATAAATGCGTTGGGTTGTATACATACGTGGCCAAGAACTCCTCACTCACTGCCGCCTTGATGTCGAGGATGGGGCACCCGAGGCCCACCAGCACAGGCCTGCTTGCTTGTTCCATGTTGACGCCACGTCAGCAAGGAAACAAAGGAAAAAAGGAAACTCAAAGAAATCAGAAGCACCAGAAGAGAGAGCAAACTTCTCCCACCACGAGGGGGCGTGCACTGATCTGCCAACAAAAGAAGCAGAGAGCAAGGAGCTTCAAGTAGCCTCGCGCAGGCGGTGGATTCGAGGTGATGTCGTGGTACAACAAAATCAAGTCGAATCTGCCGGCGCAGGTAGCGGGTATCAATCTCGAGAATGCACTTCAGGCGGTAGCCTCCCCCGCGGCCAACGCTATGCGCTCCTCCACAGACGGAGGTCCGTCCTCCCAGGGCGGCTCGCCCCCGCCCTTTCCCTCGCTCTCCCCCTCCACGCCCGCCGCAGCTCCAGCCCCAGCCGCGGCTCCCCCGGCAGGCGATAACGTACGCTCTTCTTTTTAAACCACCAACACTGGCACTCGCGCTGATGTATTTCTTGTGTGTGCGTGTGGTGTGTGCGGTGTGCACAACACAGACACCGATGAGGATATCCCTGGACTCGGCGTCGAGGGAGGAGCTGGTCAACTTTGTGAAGAGGCAGGCCATCGCCGTCAAGAAGCGCGACGAGAAGATCTCCGGTACAGCTGACCTGTGCCGGGCACTTGTTTCGGGCGGAACCGCTCATGTGTCGTGGTGTGTGTCGTGTATCTGTGTTGTGTGTGTTGTGTTGTGTGCAGAGCTGGTCGACGCCTACAAGCGGCTCGCCAAGGAGCGAAACGACTTCAAGGCCAAGATCGAGGAGCGCGACAAGGAGGACGAAGCCATTCTCAACGCCGACGTCGGCCTTGCGCCGCCGCCACCTGAAGACGACGACCGCCCCAATGGCACCGATGCCGCCGAGTCCAACGGCGCCGGCGGAAACGACGTCGAGAGCGAGCTCGCCAAGCAGCTGGGCAGCGGCCAAGAGAACGGCGAACAGCAGCAGAGTGGCGATGACGACAATACCGAGCCCAGTGGCAGCGTAAATGATGCCAAAAGCGGTGACGACGGTGGCACGGTGTACCAGATCGACGAGGAAGAGCGCGAGAAAGAGGCGCGCAGGAAGGAGCTCGAACGCCAGCGTGAGGCGGCCTACCAGGCGCGGCTCCGGGAGCTGGTGCGCGAGGGGCACGTACTGCGGCGGACGGTGCGCGAGGCGCGGGAGCAGGCCGCGGAGAAGGAGCGCGCGCTTGTCGGGCGCGTGGAGGAGCTCGAGCAGCGGGTGCAGGAGCAGAAGGACCTCTACGACACCCTGCAGACCAAGTCCGGCGAACAGATCGAGCGGCTCGCGACCGAACTCCAACGTAAGTCGCATGGTCATTCCTGCCTTCTTGACCTACGGCGTCACCAACACACACACACACACACACACAACACACAGGGATGGCCGACAGTGAGGTGCGTGCCAAGGCCGAAATGGAAGCCCGGCACAAGGAAAAGGTGGATGAGTTGGAGGGCGAGCTGGCCAAGCAGAGGGACGCCCAGAAGGAGTTGTTCGAGGCCGGTCAGCGGCGTATCAAGGTAAATCTCGGTTTTGCCGGGGAGGTTTAGCTCCTATTTATTCTTATTATTGTATTACGCATTGGTTGGGGCACAGGAGCTGAACGCCGAGCTGGAGGACAGCCACGCTAAGGCGAAGGAGCTGGGCGAGGACCTTCACAAGGCCCAGGAGTCCCTGGCTGGTGCGTTTTACTTGGCTCACGCACACCCGCACACGACACGCAACACACGCGACACACGCAACCCATGAAACATAGTTTGGCTTATGTACCCACGATGCCCTATCATTCCCGATTTTGCCAGAACGAGAGCACCAGTTGGTGTCCCTGCAGAAGGACAAGGAAGTGGAGCTTCAGGGCCTGCACGACACGCTCATACTTATGAGGAACGAGGCCCAGGTATCGCTCACATCCCGTCTGTCCAGTGCGCTTCGTGTGTCGTGTGTGTCGTGTGTGTCGTGTGTGTGTCGTGTGTGTCGTGCGCTGTCGAGTGCAACGTGCTGTGTCGCGGTTCCGATCTTGACACGACTGGCGCTCTGCCTAGGCGATGGGAGTGGAGAGCGCCAAGCTCAAGGACGAAATCGCTAAGTGGCAGCGCGAAGCGGCCGACAGGGCTGCGCTGGCCACCGAGCTGCAGGCCCTCAAGGAGCGCCAAGGCCAGGAAAGCGACGCCAGCGAGCAGACCCGCCAGGCCGACCTCAAATCCATCGCCGACAAGGAGAGCCGAATCCGAGAGCTCGAGGAGGTCGTGGCCCGGCTCTCCAGCGCCGAACGCGCCGAACTCGCCGAGCGCCCGCCCACCGATCAGGGGGACAGCGAAGCGCTGGCGGCTGCGCGTGCGAGGATCGCCGAGCTGGAGAGCGAAGTGGAGGCGCTTCGAAACAACGGACAGGGTGGCGGCGGAGAGCAGACGAGCGACTGGATCGCCGAGAAGTCGGAGCTGGTGCGCCAGGTCGAGGAGCTGAAGCAGACGCTCGAGGCCGGCCAGCAGCGGACGAGCGACGGGGCGGCGGGAGCGGAGGAAGCAGAAGAGAGCCGACAGAGAGAGCGGGAGAGGCTCGACGAAGAGAGGCGGGCGCTCGATGAGGAGCGCGAGCGGCTGGGAGAAGGAGAAGGACGAGACCCA